CACCCCCCTCCCCCCTCCTCCCCCAAAAAAAAAGATTTATGTTGATGGTGCAATTATTTAATTAATTGACCAGAATTTCCTATAAAAGAACTTTTTTTTCTGTTTTTTGGTCTCAATTATTTCTTCATTTTTAGCTATTACTATAAGAACACGTTAAAAGAAGAAAACTTACATAAATTTCACTAGTTTAGGAGCTAATTACTTAGATACATTTTAGTTTGCGATATTACGTAGCTTACTAGATTTTGATGTGTCTAGATACAACCAGATACATGTATCTCAGGATATATGGGGTCAAATTTGTTCGAGATACATTATATCCAAATGGATTCACAGTGTATTTGATACGTCTACATACGTCCAGATACATGTATCTCAAGATAATGAGGTCAAATTTGTTCGAGATACATTGTATCCAAAAGGATTCACAGTGTATTTGGAATGCACATAACAAATCTCACTCGCTTCCCTCACCTTTCTCCCATCTCACGCCACTCTCATATATATATATATATATATATATATCTGGTATCTCAGGTAGTGAATCATACTAGATACATATATATAGATGTATCTAGTGTGATTCACATGTATCTAGGATACATTGTAATCTCGTTCGCCTCTCTCCTTATTTTAGTGTATCTAGTAGCAAAAATACATGTATCTAAGTGTACATTTCTAAATATATGGTATTTGATAAGAAACTCTTAATTAGTAATAAAATACATAATATTTTAAATATATAGATAATAATAATATATATAATAGTAAAGTATGTCTAATTATGTAATTGTGCAATATTTAATTTATACGCTTTTTGACTTTCAATGTAATTAACTCTTTGAAATTTTTTACTTTTTAGTTAAACATTGGCCATCTTAAAAAGTGTGTCAAGTGGAGTATTTAATTTTGAAATGAATTAATATTGGAGTCATTTAACATCATGGGAGCTTACTTTTGATCATCATTAGTGTTAGATTTATAATGATAATCCACATCATTATGGAAACAAAGAATGCAAGTGTTAGTGTTTGTGTTAGTCAAAAAGGAGGATTACAGGATAGACTATAGTCATCAAACTTTGAAAATGTGCATCCTTTAGAAGGAATCAACTAAATAATCCCATTAATACCTAATTAAACTTTAGGAGGATCCCACTAATATAATAATATTGTTTTCACTTTATGGGTGGCATGGAGAAAAATATTTTTTCATTTTCTCATGTTCAGTTAATCAAAAAATTTAGAAAAATAAAATTTCTCTAAGAAAATAAGTTTTTACTTAATCGTGTTGAATTTATTATTAGAGTTATCCGATTTGACAAACCTCGCTATAGCTTTTGCTTAAATTCTTTAGTTAGTTGAGGAAAATGCACTTAGTATGATAATAATTCATTCAAAACCTGATAAAATTAAAAAATATATTATGATAGAGACCTTATAAGCTTAAAATTTTAAATTCAAGTTGAATTCTCTAAATAAGGATGATAAACTTCTACCATTCTATATATACCTCATTGGGTTTCTTGTTTATGGTGGTAACTCGCCTATCCCTTTGTCCTTTTTGCTCTCCTTGATATTTTGACTCTTCGTTCTAGAGTTCAAAACACTCCTAAACTCGTTTTAGCTTCTTCAAACACTGTTATAATCTCGTTATTCATGTGTAGGTCCCATATTTTCGAACTTGATCATATTTTAACCTCGGAAATTAACTTAATTCAAGGTACAAATTTTTACGGGGACTAACATTATTTACCGTCCATACACTCTTTGTTGGTGTAGATTATATTTTAAGGTTTGGGAACTATATCTCTTTAATGCTACCTTATTTTTGCCGGTACATTTGTATTTGGATTATGACATGCAAACAATTTTACACCTTTAAACACAAATGTAACAAAAAAGAGTTGCAATTTGATTAATATCTTCTTTCTTTTTTCTGTTTGGTCATATTCGTTGCTAGACAAGAGTTTTAAATGTATGGGACACACACACATGACTATCATGGGACGAAGGCTTTAATTTATTGAAAAACAAATCTATGGATACCCTAATTAGGAAAATTACGTTACAACAACAATAGTATACCCTGTGAAATTTCAGAAATGTGCTTTGAGAAAGATAGAGTGTATGCGCCAGATATAGCAATGGAGCCAGTATTTTTCTTAAGGGAATTCAAAATATGAAAATATAGATACACGAAGATTGAAGGAGGTTCAACATCTACTATATATACATTAAAATATAATTTTAACAATATATAAATAAACCGTGTAATTTTTCCTCAAAGGGGGTTTGGATGAACCCCCGGGCCCTTACTAGCTCTACACCTTGTCTGCAGACCATACCCTTACATCGTGGAGGTAAAAAAATTGTTTTCGAAGGTTCAGGTACAACATATCAAAATAAATATGAACAAGGAGAAACGCAAGTGAAGAAACAAAGCAACTAATAAAGAAACGGTAACAATCAAATATCTAGGTGTATAATGATGCATATAAATAACAAAGTTAAAATAAGCAAACACCAAATAACAAAGTGAACAGTTCACCTATATCAATACATTGTTCTCATAAACAATATTTATATGCATGTCTTAATCCTCTAGGGAGAATATAATGTTTCGAATTAGCACGAGTCTAAGACATATTATTCTGATTTTGTCTTCCAAAACATTGATCAGACATGATGTAACATACAAATTAAATAGAACAAAATACTCTATCATTATATATTTATACTTGTTAGGATGAATTGAAGGTGTGGGGGACAAAGAATATGGATGTTACTATTACTTTATTTGTCTTGTAATGGTGTTGGTTGTGGTGAAGGGGTGGGGTGGGGTGGGTGGGGTGGGGTTGGGGGGACTAGTTTGACAAATACAATTTAAATGATAGCTATCACACCTAAATCTAGGATAAATATACCCCTAACGGATGGACACATGACTTTATTTCGATACCTTACTCAATTTTTATTTATTTTTTACCCAAAATAAAATAAAAAAACCCTTTATTTTATTTTAAACCCACCTAGCATTCTCAAAATGAAATAACCCTTCAAAATCAATTTCAATTCATCAAAATCTACTTCAAATTTTTTTCAACCCCTTTCAACAATAAAAAGTCGATTTGACTTCGAAATATTTGGTTTAATTGTCGAACCCACTTTAAAGCTTGAAGCTTTGTTCGTCAATAGTGATAACATATTCAGGGTGTGTTTGGTATGAAGGATGTTTTCCAATTTTCTCATGTTTGGTTGGGTTAAATGTTTTCCAAATCAACTCATTTTCCTCAAATTTAAGGAAAATGACTTTCCTTCGAAACTTAAGGAAAACATTTTCCAAAACTCTCTTCCAACTTCAAATTACAATTATTTTTTTGTTGAAAAAAATCAATTTATTTTGTCCCTACCCTCAAACCAGCCCCCCAACTAAGCTTGGATATTTTTTTGGTTGACAAAATTGCCCTTGGTCGTCCTCTTCTTCACCTTTCTATATAATAGAAAAATTATCATATTTTATTTAGCTATTTGAAAGTAATTTTATTTTTATTTATGATGGAG